GCTCAAATTACGCAGCTCAAATTACTCACAATGTATTCTGCGGACTTAAAGTCCTTTAATTGAATTTATTTCCGGCATATTTGGCTTGCCGGCATTATTCCAATCACATGGCCATTCGTACCTATGCTTTTCGACTCATAAATTGTAAATTATATAACAGACAATTGTGCAAACACATTTAACAATTATATATATTCAAATTTATAAAATAAAAATTACACATAGCGTATGAAATTAAATAATATGTAATGTCCCAATATTCCGATGTTCTGAAAAACTGTTTTTTGTTCTTCGAGAACATAAATTGAAAACCTTATAGTATATTCATAAAAAAAAGTAATGTAGCTTGGCTTAAATTTTTACAAAAAAATTCCTAAGTTCAAAATTATAGCACATGCCTTTCACTTTTTAAATAGTAACCAAATTACCATTATGATGAAAATTCTTTAAACTAAACTTTGGGTTTGATGGCTTACGCTATAATTAAAATCTGTAAAAGTTTCTATTGTATCTCTCATATCAATTCTTTCAAATATGATATAATTAATCTTCGCAATATAATATACGTAATTTAATTATATTGATTACTCTGATAAAATTATTTGTTCTAATTATTCGTTACATTATCTGTAAACACTAAAAAGAAACATTATACAGTACTACGAATTTTATTTTCGTATTGTTATTTTGAAATAATTCTTACCAGCTTTTCTAAAGAGAAAAGTTTCAAGTTTCTTAATTTCAAGTTTCTTAAGCGATAAACAGAAAACAAAAAATTCTCGCCTGACATCGTATAATCAAATTTAAATTTCACCTCGATTAAATTGATTAAAAATACATCCGTTAAAACTGCATTTGAAATTTAAATCCGGTGACATGACTTTTTTTTAAGGGAATAACAGGTTCAGAGATTCGGCTTTCAACATATAAAAGATCATCTATGCCTTACTTTATTAAAAGTGTACTAAGCGCTATAGGATCTATAAAAAAAGAGTCAAATATAATAGAGAATTTCTGATATGATAGTACAAAAACACTTTAGGTTTGTTTTATAATAATGAAATTTTTAGTTTTGAAAACTAATATTTATATACATCAATAAAGAAGTAACATTCATATAAAAAGATAAAAGCAATTATATTCAGAATTTTAAAATTTTTTATTTTAACTAATTTGTTATATGATTAAATCTCATCATCTATATTATATTTTTTCGATCGAACTTTTATAATAATTTGTATTAGAGTTTTTTTAAAAATTTTTTTTTTTTTTTTTTTTTTTTTTTTTTTTATTTTATTTTTTATTTATACGCAAAAAAATATATACTTGCAAAACATAATAAATTCAATTTTATTAACCGAATGTATTAAATTTTACAAATTTGAATACTTCATATTCATCTATAAAAAACCCACCATTTGTATTTCTTATTGGTTTTTCATAAAAAACTTTTTGACAATGCCATTTTTTAAGAGGAGAATCGGGAAATTCACCCATTCCAAAGTCATTATCACTAAACCATGGACCTTGTGATATGTAACCATAATAAATTGCGTTTGATGTATTTTTTACACGACTAAGGATAGATTGATTCAGGTTTCCATTTTTTAAAGAGAAAATAAAGCTATCAGCTGTCGTTACATATCCGCCACCAATTTTCCAAATAAGAGGATTATAACCACCAAGTATCTCATTCGTATTACTGACTTTTAAAACAACCACAGTACCAGGTATATTATCACACAATCTATGAAATATTTCACCTGTGAACCCATCCCTACTGCCTCTAAGTAAGAGTTTAAATTCATATGGAATTTCTGTAGTATTATAAATTGTTGAACGTCGGTCAATCCAGGATGAAATTTCTGATGCATGTTCTAATGTGATTATGGAAGAAGAAGGTGTAATGATTGATGCTTTTCGAGGAGGAAGTTGTACTGCTGCTTTTTTACGAGGAGGTAAAATTAGAGAGGTAACAAATATATCTGGGTCTATTGACCTTGAAATAATATCATCCCATACATTTTCTTCAAAAATTTTACGGTAAGGCTTGAGTTTCTTTAAAACTTGTTTACCAGGAATTTGAAAATATCTAATATGAGGAAGACAATGTTGAAGAGTAGTTTTTAAAGACTTAAAGTTTTCATCTGCCCATTTCTTGTGGTTAGATGGTAAATCTGGAGTTCTTGCTTTTCCTCATTGAATAACTTTATCCCAAATTTCTGATTCCTCCATTTGCAAATCATCTCACTTTAAAAGAGCAATCAACGCATTCTCTTGAAGTGTATCAAAATCATCGGAGTTAAAAATCATATTAGGATGTTTTACAATAATGTCACTACAAAATTGTTGTAAAACTTTAAAGTTTTCATAATCAAAGCTTATTTGATAAATTCGAGAAAAATTTAAACGAAGCCAAGATGCATTATTATCAATAAGATAAGACTGAATATGTTCAACTAGTTCTATAAGCTTAAATTCATTTATAGTAATTAATAGATCAAATATGGCTGAGACTTCGAAATTTTCCAAAGAAACTATGCCACTGTAGATATATCTACGTAATATCACAAATAGCAATAAAAAAAGACGTAAAATTCTTATTATTTTTTTGCAATAGAATTACTGTAAATAAACAGTATTAGTATATTAATTTACCTTATAATAATGTCGAATACTTTTACGGAATAATTTGGTAATTTAATTTCAACAACATTGTTTTTCTTAATCGCACTTGTCAATTTTTGACGAAAGTACAATGAACGCTGATGCAAGATTGCTGGTGTGCTTTAAAAAGTTTGATATTTGGTTGTTCACCAACTTCAATAACTACATTATAATCATACTCATTTTCAAAAAGTTGTGTAAAGTCTTGAGAAAGTTGGTTAAGAATTTTTATGCATGCGCTTTATATAGTATACATATAACAAAAGTTGAATCGGCAACTCTCTGCTGATATACAAAAATGGTTATAATCTGACCTAATTACAAAACTATTTGACTGATGTTATAGATCGTAAGTGGATGCAAATATCATCATGATTGGTAATAATTGCATTCCAATACAAGGTATATATGATTTGTTTTATGTGCTATAACTTTAGGCAAAATTCTACGTGAAATTTATTAGCTATGGTACAGAATAACTATCCTAAATTTGATGGGATATTAAATTCGTTGGCAAGTTATGGACAAACAAACAACTCTTCTTCAAAATGATTATATGTTTTCACAGTTAAGTTCACGTATAGTGTGGAGTATAGTCTATTTGCTAATAATGCGCAGTTCACAGTATGCTATCAAGCCCAATAATTTTTATGAAATATCATCGCTTTCAAATAATGTTGTACATAAGTTTGCTTAAAATGTAACATGCATTAAATCTAATTCAAGTCTAATGAAATATTTTTGAAAAAAAAGTTTTTTGTTAAAAAAACTTTTATTGTTTTTTTTTCATGCTTAGTTTTATCTTTTTTTTTAAATATGAAAAAAGACATACAACAAATATGATTATCTAGCTATTTACAAAATCTGTCAAGATACTTCGTGATATTCATCCAATATTCTTTTTCAATATTAGCATGAAAATCAAAGCTTTAATATTTGGTTTAAACATGATGCTCAAATTTAACCTTTAATTTTACATGATGCTGGTATTCTATAATTTAACCAACCAAAAAGACTCCTCAGAATATCCTCAAAATATCACAAATAAAAATGAATACGAAATATATGAATTTCAAAAATTTTAATAAAATTTGTAACTTTGATATTTATTTTATTGTGAATTAAATTTTTAATTTAAAAAAAACTCCTAATTATTAGAGAATCACTTATATTATTATTGCTACATGTTTTAATATTTTGAGAAATATTAAAAAATGGAAGCAAAAATTTTTATTAGTTATTTTGTTAAAAAAAAATCTACTGATTTTATCAGTTAGAACTATAATTTGAGTCTAGACTAAATTGTTATATAATGAAGATAGTAATTATTTGGTAGTATTTTGTCCATTATTGTCCAGTCTTGCACTGAACAAAAAAAAATTTAAAGTATTGAATGATATTTGACCAACACATTAAATTTTCAATTTTGACTAGTGTTTGTCTTTTTGAAGACCAATTCGTCATTATAAATTAGTTACAATTAGTTGCTTGATGTTTTTAATCATTTTTATTAATTAAATGCATTATTATATAAGAGAATTTTATTTATAGTTAATTTAATATAAATTAAGTAGATAAACATACTCGGCTCAAAAAAGCATAAAATTATTAGTGTACTTAACATTGCAAGTTGCATAGACTCTATTGTAAATAAGAAATAAAGATATTATTTTCTACTAAAGAGTACTGTATACTAAAAGTATATTACATATATACTTTAGTAAGTTATCAGTTATTGATGTTTACTATTTAGAGTTAGACCATATAAAAAAAATTTATTGGTTTTCATATCCCGGCCGGGTCAAAAAATTTGAAGCTCCAAATTTTTTTTTTAAGGCGCAGTAAGTAAATAGCCAATAAAAATGCGCTATTTTAAATTTTCAGTTGCATCACCAAAATTAGAAATCAGACCCAGATAAAACCTATCCACCCGATCTAGTGTGGATTAATGTTGTCAAACTTGGCTCTTAGCAAATAGTATAATGTTTGTTGTTTTGTCAGTCTTGCTAATAACTTGCCGACAGTATCATATCTCTATACATTAAATTTGGGTCCATATTATTGTCCACCCAATTATTCATCGACAAGTTCATTTTACTGACAGTCTATTTCACCGAGCTCATTTTGCCGACAAGTTTTATTCATAAATTATACTGACTTTAACTTTAATTCTAACATAACCCTAATGAAATTGACCAGAATTACATTGTCTGTAAAATGGGCTTCGGTGAAATGAACTTGTCAATAAGTAATTGTCGGTGAAATGTGGTGTCTACGAAGTGATTGTCGGTGAGTTGATCGTATCCCGTATCTAACTTTGTCTGAAGTAATAGCAACTGAATCTAATATAATATCCAACTTATCTGAAGCACAAAAATAAAATAGTGATACCGATATACATTTTCTGTCACTAGCAAGATATGGGGACCCCAAGATATGCACATTATTACGTAATCGTTCATTACCGAAATCAAAAATTTATCGAATCGGCCAAACAATCATTCGGTCAATTTTTACTAGATGTCCCAAAATTTAAGAGAACAGCTGTAAATGATAATGTTTTCTTTTTTTTTTTTACGTTCTTCTCTTTCGAGTCGGGTTCTTCTTTCCGGCTTCTTCTTACCAGGCTTTTTCTCCAGCTTTGTCTTACATTCGCTTCTGTTTGTAGCTATATTCCAATCGCTGTTGGGAATTTCCTTGGGAGAGTTGTTTCAAGAACATACATATCTGTGTTTCGCGTTAGGAAACATCTTCGGATTCAAGTTTTCTTATGGTATGGATGTGAAAAGAGGAATGCTTTGGCGTTGACCATGTCTGAAGATCAAGAAAGCGCTTTAATCTGGAAACAGCCTGAAGATAAAAAAAGAGCTTTAACCTGGAAACGGCTAGCACAGTCTCGAATATCATGAAAGCGTTTTAACCTGAAACGGCCTCAAAGATCAAGAAAGCACTTCAGCCTGGAATGGCCAGTATGATCTCGAAGTTCAAGAAAGCTCTTCAACCTGGATTCTTCTTTAATGAATCTCGCTTCAACCAGTATAGTTCGAAGATCAAGAAGCATTTTAACCTAAATTCTTTCTTTTAATAAATGTATTGGACCTTGCCTTTGAAGTTACCCTCCCCTCGCTGAGATACGATCAACTTACCGACAATCACTTCGTAGACATCACATTTTACCAACCATTACAGTTCATTTCACCAACAGTTTATTTCACTGAAGCCCATTTTACAGACAATGTAATTCTGGTCAGTATCATTAGGGTTAGGTTAGAATTAAAGTTAAAGTTAGTGTAATTTATAAATAAAACTTGTCAGCGAAATGAGCTCGGTGAAATAGACTGTCTGTAAATTGAACTTGTCGATGAATTGTCGGTGAAATGTAACAAGCTAAGAATTTTAAAATGTTTACTATGAATGTACTAGCTAAAGGCTCCTTAGTTGTTATATCAACCGTGATTTGCTTTTTGGTTTATATTTTAAAAATTATTTTACATTAAATAAATAAATAAAATACTTTTATAGATTTATTATGATTTTATTGGTTATATAATTTGAGTTATATTTTCTTTAGTTTAATCAATAAATTCTTGTTCATATCAAAACTTTTTTTATTACAGTATTAGCATCTTTTTTTGTAATTTATTTATTATGAAAATTTTTTTATATTCAGAGCTCTTTTTATGTTTTTTGTTAAGATTTGTTAGTTGGCAAGAACGGATATGCAATTTTGGATATGTTGACATTGTAGTACCATTCAGAATACATTCGCAAAAACTATATATCATTATCTCTATATTACTACTCACAAATTATTGCCGAATTAAAATCCTATCGAATCGGCCAAATAATCATCCGGTCAATTTTTTTACCAGATGTCCCAAAAATTATGAGAACAGCTGCAAAAGAAAAAAAAATTTACTTATCTTGACCAAAGATCTAATCTACATTTGTTACATGTGTATATGCAGTATAAACTAAGCTATTCGTTATTTTTATTTCAAATATTTAATAACACTCTAGGTACAATTAGGCATCTCTTAATTTTTTATTTTACTTAGTTTAACAACTTTAGGAAAATGATTAATCTCATTTTGATGACGATACTCCATATAAAAATTTATCTATGTATATAAAAAAAACCTGGGTGGCTGGGTCACTTTTTTTTTCATGTTATGAAAAGCAAAAAAATTTTTTTGTATGGGCTTATAGGTATGTTTATTAAAATGAGCAAATCTAATGAAGTTTTATCATATTAAAAAATTTTTTTTTATAATTTGATAATCATGCTATTATCTTTGCTTTTATTAATAAAATGAAATTATCCAAATGATAACTAATTAACTATATCTACTGATATCTAAAACTGAATAATAGCTCACCCAGTTATTTTTAGGTATCTAAATACTGCTAGCACCTATGCATGACCTGCCAAAGGTAATTCAGCCTTACTGGTTTGGTCCAATTCACCATGGAAAGATTCACCCAAATCACCAACCTGGTTCATTAGCCTATTACCGTAAATCGCCATATACAATACCCTGCGTGACAAATAATGTAGATCAATTTTTAAAATAGTATTTATACATCAAGTGATGCGTAATGCACGTGATTTAAATTTTTTTCAATTGAAAAAAATTGCATCACACGGGTCTTGTATATGGCGATTTACGGTACTGTTTGAGAGAACTATCGTAACGCGCTGGTTAGATTGTATTTGCGCGAAATAAAACGGGACATTAATTTAAGACATGCAATTTAAAGAGAATTATTAATTAAATTAACCGAAGATTTTTCAAAAATAAATTATTGTTCATATTCAGTTAGGTTAATAATTAGCTCTGTTTATATTGTGTTTCGAATAGCGCCAAGAGACGTTATTTCGCGCGAATACAGTAATACAAAATATTAGACAAAGAATCTGGTATAGAGTGATTATGCTAAAAGAAAGAAATTTAAAATATACACATCACGTGTTTTGCACCAAAGTAATTTGCATGAGGAAAATGAAAAGACGATATTTAAATTGGTTCTACCCTGAAATCCTGAAAGCAATTTCTCAAAGAACATAATACCGACTAAATTGGCCAACATTATAATAATGCTGGCTAACTTTGTCGGTATTATGTCGTTTTCGGGAATCCGTCTTTCGTGATTTCAGTAGATCCGTTCTTGAGAATAATTTTTTGGCAAAAATTAAATGCAATAGTTCTACAGAAACTTTCGTTCAGAGAAATGCACACTGCCTCTATTGTCGAAATTACTAGTTATTTCTTCTGTCACATTTATTATTAGGCGAAATGATTTTTGTTGTAATAAAGAATGAGCTATGTATCGTATAAATGTTCAATTTTTGAAGTTGTCAAGTTTTTAAACAAATTTTGTAAGTTTGATCGATTATAGTGATAAAACGCTCTTTTATAACCAATTTTTCTATTGCTGCTGTTTCGCCTTTGAATTTTTGTAAATTTTGTATGTGCAACCAACTTAAATTACAGTTATTATTGTGTAATTAACGAGCGCTACCATGTTGTTAATTATTACATCACGAAGCACCCCTTCCTCAGTTGTGACTAACCTCCTTATAACTGCAGTTACATTCTTCTTACCTATATTTCTGTGCACAATGACGTAATACAGTATCGCCGAACAAACCTGATATCACGTGAGCAGAATTTTTCGAGTATTGTTAAGTTTTTTTTGTTTTTTTGGGAGTGGTGGGCAGTGTTATAAATTCAAAAAAATTTAGTTATCGCATGCACGTATTATATATGAATGATATGCGCGCAAACTTTAAAATTATGTTTAAAAAAATTATATAAATTAAAGTAAAATTATAATACGCGCAAATTTTAGTTTATATTAACCATTAACCATAGCTGCGCCTACTGAGCGAATCCAATTTACATCACTGGGATAGTTGGATATAATGTCGAGCAGAAAACTCAAAAGACAAAGAAATCAACCAATCATCAAGTTACCATCTCGTTCTGAACAATCCTGTGATACTGTCATATGGAAGTCCTGTGACTCGCAATAATCCGTATTATACTATTGGTATAATATCAGTATAATACCAGTATTATACATATAAGTGTAGGTATAATACCAATAATAGAAACGGGTTAGCCACTTTATCTGCAATTCCGAAAGTTTCCCTAAGAAAAATTCCGAAAAATTCCGAATCATATTAAGCTGAGAGTAAAATGGCGGTTATACCATGCTATACCGTATTATACGGTATCATACTTGGGTATTATCCCTAAATGTATTGTCTTGTGACTTCACAAAGTAGCATAAAATATAGCGCGCATTATAGTTTAACTTTCAGTATATAAATTTTAAATTTTTGCATGAATTCTTAACGCGCATTAATGTGCACGCATTGGCTATCTCCGGAAATTGATCTTATGATTAAAGTGTTTAGTTGAAATAATAACGGCAATTAAAATTCGTATTATATATTTTTATTGGCTTTAAGTTTGTAAATGCTCCTCCTCAATTCATTTCATTCACATCATTATTATAGAGGATGATATAAAAGATGTAAAAACTAATAATTCGAATTTGTAAATATTTCTATTTAAATATAAAGGCCATTATAAAAAAAAAAATTAGCTATTAAAATTGTAAATACATACAACTATTTAATTAATTCCTTCCGATCCATTTAATTATATTACGTTTAATTGTAAAATAAAGAATATTTATTACTATATAGATTTAAGATTATTAGTTCAGGTCCGCTTCAATAGCGCCATTAATATGGTGAACATAAAGTCCATTTAAAATGTATATACGGTATGAAATTAGTGTAAATATTCATCACTTAATGAATGCGTCTCGGTTTATCTATATCAATGTTGCTAGTACGAATAAAAATCAGTTCATAGTGGTGAAATCATTTTCACCAAACTAATTTTATTTCACCGGCATCTTTAGGTCTGACTGTATATCATTACTTGAAATAGTGCCACTTTCTTGATAAAATAGCAATTGAATATTTTGCAATGATAATATTATGGCAGGGTGAATGAATTTTGGTAAACCTGCTATGCAGATAACATGAGGGTGAAATCCGCGTTAACATATAAAGAACAATATGCTAACGCGGATTTCACCCTAACCCTATGATTAAAGCGGGTTTTACCTGTGCATATAATGTTTACATTTAGCTAATTTATTTTTTCATTTTATTTGCTGTTTTCGGTACTCATTGAAAATATATCATATATGTACGTACGTACGTAGCAAAGTTTTGACGTAAAAATCGGACACAAATATAAATGATTAACCATGCATTTGTATTAAAAATTTTTTCATTGTAAAAGTTTGTCTGTGTCACCTTTTTGCACAAAGACACAATCAGAATTAAAAACAGTAGGGCCTAATAAATTATTTTTTGCCGATCTACACAGCCACAAATGAAATTTGCTATGCTTTTAAAAGTTCGGCCCGCAAAACAAAATTACCATGTTTTTAAAGGTTCGGCCCGAAGAACAAATTTTCGTGTACTAACAGTAATTAAAGTCTTGTTGGTCTAAACATTTAACACGTAATATTAATAATGTTTTACATTGTAAATATAAAATTTTGTAGCAAAGAAGATCAAAATAATATTCTTATGTGATAGAAAAAATAAATTCAATTTTATGGATTTGAAGACCACTCCCATAATACGCTAGTTCATCTGATGCATTTACTTGCAGCATTGATGCCAAAGATCTTTCATGCACTATCCAAAGAAGAAAACGTATTATTTCGTTTCTTTCGTCATTTTTAATAAAAATCCGCATCTACTTCTGGATTCACAAACTTAGTTAAACTAAAATTACAATATTGAAACAATATAGATAAGGAAAGATACTATTGACCATGAACTTATGCTTTTAGTTAATAAAATATTAAGTAATAAAAGAATTAAAATTTTGCAAAATACTGTATGCAGCGCATAGATTACGCCAACGAAAAAGGCTAATTTGTTGTTTTCTGCAGTTACATTTGCAACAACATAGTAAATCGAGTAGATTACACATAACAATTAAGACCATTTGCACTTGAAAAACTAGTACAGAGAGACCTCTCTAAATGTACTCTCTATAAATGCACCCTCTATGTAAAATCTCTTTAAAGTACAGTATAGTCTGGTCTCGACTTATAATAGCACTATATATTTTGATCTCTATAAACGCACTCCCTCTCTAAGTGCACATTTTTGAAATTTTTTATTATGGTCCCAAGGGGGTGCATTTAGAGAGGTCTCTCTGTATTCATTTCCACTCTTATGATAGTAGCCTGCCTCTTTCATTTATGTATATGTTGAATTGGCAAAATTTGTGAACAGCATCTCTAGTCTGGCTTCCCTAAACACAACTCATTGGGACCAAACTTCTAATAACATGCATTTAAAGAAAAAAAGAAAATTGCATTTATGGAGGTTGGAACTATATCTGGGCCAGAACTTAGGTTGCAGATAAAGAGGTGTTGCATTAGGAATGTTGCATTTAGAGAGGTCTGGCTGTAATGTAATAGCCAAAACTCTATATTCATTTAATTTCAAATTTAAAAGTTTAAGTCCGGCGTATTTGCTGTTCCCTTTTAATACAAATTTCATATTATCTGACATCTTCGCCTTTTTTTGGAAACCCAATTTTCGTCGTTTCTAGTTTGAAATCTTTGAAATTGACAGGATTTACTCGATTCGAAATCCTATCACACAGCTTTCTCCTTTGAACATAAATTCTTGGGCAAATCGTTCGCTATGTGTATGCCAGTCAGGTGTCGAATAAATGCTATATCCGTATAAAAAACGCTTCCCCTTACTTAATAAATATCCGTCCTCGGAAATTGATCTTGCATTATGCTTTACAGTGCCATGATGTGATACTGGCCAGGCATCCCTTATCAGTACCTTTCATCGTCATCATCATACTTTCCAAGAACCCGTAAGAAAACCATTTCCATCCACATATTGCATATGTTCACGCGTGAATATTCTTCCTTTATCTTTAATACATGTAAAAGTAATCATGGTTGGAGCTCAATGAATCTACGTTCAAGTAATTAATCATGAAAATGTAAAGAAATATTGCATTTGTGTACAATCAATATCCGCAATAGATAGTTACGTCTCGAAATAGTCACAATCTCGCTATAATCACCTTAACTTTCTGCGTAAAGATATACCAGGTGGATGAAAAGTCTCTATACAGGTCCCTTTTTTTACTATGGTGCTGGAAGCCTATACCCGACAATCACGTGATTTGTTTCAATTTTGCCGACGATCAATTTTCACGTGCAGATCGATAATTAAAGCTAGTTAAATAGTGTGAATTTACATTTTAATTGCTTTTTATTTTAATCAACTATTGTTCCATTATTTTTTCAATACTTTCTGGCAAGCGACGATGCGATTTATATTTACTAACAGCCCACTCTGCTACTCTACCTTCTAAACCCTTATTATAGGCATCCATATACCTCCACGACTTTCGCGCAAACTTACGAATGGTTGTTACTGGAACGTTATTAAGGGCTTCTGGAAGTCGTATTAATAAATCATTATAATTATAGGTACACGATATCCTAAGTTCCCGTTTTACGAAGCCCCAATACCGTTCAATGAAGTTACATTCACAATTGAACTTCGGATATCGTTCGAAGATATGACCCTTTTTAGCAATTGCTTCTTCCAATAACGAAAGTTGTTCACGGAAATCCGGTTGTAATGATATAATTTTCCGTGCACAGCAGTCCAAATCTTCTGACTCATTTTTACTTTTCTCAGAACAAAGCTTACACACCAAATTTACCCCCCAGCTGGCCAGAGGTTGCGTTCTTCAAGTATTCGCTAGATGCCTTTTGGTTGTCCTCTCAACTTTTCCACTGGATGATCTTCCGGAAATGTCATTTTTTGATCTTGCCTTTCTCCGTACTCATTGATATACCAACCATCATGCATTATAGGTTGTTTTCCTCCGGGGTCTTTATTCATCCTCGATGCAACTAATGCATTCTCCACCATTGCGTTATGGTTAGTCGATTGGTCTAAACAAAAAACCCCTACACATCCAGGATGTAATATTTCAAATATAGGTATTGCTCTTTGTTCAAGCTTTATTCAGACAATGATTGCATTAAAGCTTTTGTTAAAAAAAAAAAAAAAAAAAAAAAAAAAAAAAAAAAAAAACCTGTTCCAACATATGCTCTGATTTCCAATATCCATCTTCTTGTACAGAGCGGACAACAAAAGCATCTCTATACTTGACATGTGGGTTAGCCAAGAACTGCTCTTCTAACAACTGTAACAATCTATGGCATGGGCATACGAAAGCAGAAACCATTACGGAACGTCCCATATGTTTTGAACGCAGAACATCCTCATCCTCTCTGGTCCAAATTCTACGTTGCCCATCATTTGCATAAAAGTGACATTCGTCATGTGTCACTTGTACTGACTCCTTTTCACCATATTCAAGCTCAGGCTCCACTATTACCTCCAACATATCGCCAGTAAAGTCTTTCATACCTTTCTTGTATTTGAACATCCTTTCTAACCATCCCTTTCTATAGAGCACCACATCCGGCCGTTCGTGTCCATCATAATACACACCCTTTTTTCTTTCATCATACTTATATCCTAACGCATGCATATAAGTATGACATGTTTTCTCAGAGATTATATCCTTTGTGTGTCCTATTTTGGGCAACAATGTTTCCTCTATATACATTTTTAGGGCCCTAGGAGAGCGTGATTCTGGAGATTGCTGCCGTAGCCATTCTTGACATCCTTCTAAAAAATTATCATCATCAAGCAAGCTTATAGATTTTTTATGTTTTCCTTGGCGATAAGAAAGAAGTTCTCCTGATTTTATATACAAATCGCCCCACTTTCTGATACACCTTGACATATAATCGCCTTTATTCCATATCATTTTAGCAATCTGAATGCTAGCATTCATTTTGCCTTGTCCATCTAATAACAATTGGATGTACTGGCTTATGCTTAGTAGGCGTAAGTGATCATATGTTGATATACTGCTTTTTGATGATTTTTTTATCTGACATTGTTTATTAATATCATCTAAACGCATACGTAGGATTGAAGCAGTATCAGTGGGTGATGGAGGGCTTTGTAGAGTTTCATGGGATGATTGTAATAATGATATATTACTTGATGCTTCAGCATCAAGTAATGTGTCATTTGATGCTTCATCATCGGGTAACATGTTACTCGATGCTTCTGCATCAAGTAGCATGTTACTTGATGCTTCAGTATCAAGTAAAATATTACTTGATGCTTCAGTATTAAGTAACATGTTACTTGATGCTTCTGCATCAAGTAACATGTTAATTGATGCTTCAGTGTCGAATAACATGTTACTCGATTTTTCAGTGGTAAACGATATATCATTATTTTGAAGTTTTTTTTCATCCTCCTCTTTCTTTTTATTTCGCCTCCAGATCGTAGTTCTTGAATCTTTGGAATATACTCTTTTTACTGGTAGGGTGCCGATCTCATCTTCCCCGCCCATTCTTAATGTAGATTCGGTTTGCACTTCAGTGACTTCTTGTGTTTCATCTTGGGTTATGAAGCGGCCCTTTTTTCTAGGTAAATTATTTATTTGGTTTCGTCTTTTTGATATATGAGGCATAGTGAATTAACGCTATATTAACTTTCAATAATCAAAACAAATGAGAAAAACAATGAACAAAATAAATGTATCACATGGCACATATATATATAATAGAACCAGTATTTTGGCAGAAGCGACGCGACTCAAGTTTTTCGTGTAATATCGTTAGCACCTCTAAATTGATCGGAAATCAAATAAACTAACCAAGCGAGTCATTAACAAATGAAATTTGGAGGCGCAAAAGTAATAATCTAATAAACAAGATGTCAACTTTCATGAAATACAGTAATTCATTGTAACTTTTATAAGTTGAACCATTTATTTTATGCTTAGTAAAATAAGCTATATAATTCTTGCTATCTTCGTTACCCTATCATATGTTATTGTACAGTACATTTTAGATTTTATTTCAAATTGTTATTGCGCGCTTATCTATATAGTAAATTATTAATTGCGCAGTTTAGTTTACACTATTATTTTATGTTTGTAATGTTTTTGACAATTGTATGCAAAAAAATAAAGGCCTTTTAATCGATCTGCGCTAACCAATCAGATGCTTCGCTTGTTTCAATTTCGAAAAAACATAGTGACTTTAAAATGCATCAACTTGTTATAGAAGCAATATTTTGAAAAACTGACCGGTAACTTTGTTTCTTATAGCTAGCTTTACAAAGTTACCGGTCAGTTTTTTGAAATATTGTTTCTATAAAAAGTTGATGCATTTTAAAGTTACTATGGTTTTGTGATCACGTGATTGTCGGGTATAGACTTCCAGCACCATATCCCCGCTAAGATTTATAATACTTAATTTTAAATACAATTTATATATAATATTGCAATGATTACTATTTTAGTGGTTTAAAAAAAGGAGACTTCTCACCCACCCGGTATATACTACATAAATTTTTCTCGTATTAGTCACAATCTAACAATAGGCACATAAAAAAGGCTGATTTTAGCATGTGACTATTGCGAGAATTGACTGTACATTTGGTTATATGTCAGTCGTTTACCTCCATATTGATTTTAACGTTATGGTTTTCCTTATACATAGGTGCCTAAATTCGGAAGGATTTGCAGCATTACGACATGACGATATTGTTTTATTTAGTCATGCCACTTCAAAATGCCAAAATTATCTCTGTTGCCGAAAAAAATAAACTCAATTTATTACGGTAAAATCGTATCCTAAGTGCCCACCTCTTAATTCAGACCAATCGAATTTCAAGATCAAGTGTAACGTATTAATCGAAAAGAAAAAATGAATAGCTCTAAATTTTAATTAGGAAACCACTTCTGTGGCCTAATTAAGGATGCTTCTTGTGTAATTATGCTAATAGAACCGCATTGTTCTAATTCTAATCCTAACTATAACGTGGTTTACTAGTAGTAGACTTATGAGATCAATAATTAGAAGATGTTGAAGTAAGATGCAGTGTTGGTGAAAGTTGGGGTGATTAGTATTGCAGTTGAAGTTACTAGCAATTATAAGATTCATGTTTCGAGAATAACTATCATTAACCTAGGAGATAATTTGTTATTAGGTGGTATACAATAATGAGGTTGTGGATAATAGTAAGTAGGTTGCTATAAGACACATCTTGTTGTTTGTGGTGAAGTATAAATCAATAAGAAGGGTGATACCAGATATAGTACTGATTTTATAAATGTATAGTTGGATTGATAGTTTAAGTGCTATTGCGACACTTTTATATGATTCATAAATTTTGCATTTGTTTGATTACAATTTGATGTGTAGATTTTGTAAAGAGGATTAGTAGTTAGTAGATACTGCTAATTTTGTTTCTATTAGGAAGGCTATATCTATTTTATTAGAATCACAGTATTCTAGTAGTAGTTGTAGCTTGAGAGCTTGGTTAATACTTTGAACATTATGATTGAGAATATTGAAGATCTGTTTGGTAGAAGGGATGATGACAAATACTTGGTTATAGTGGAGACTGTGTGGTAGGAAGCTATTGATTGAAGGGTTATTAATATTCATGGTGTAGTGAGGATAGTTTTTTGTTAGTAGTAGAGTGTGGGGTTTAGGTTGCTTAGAGTAGTCATTGGGTGGTTTACAGTATAGATTGGTAGATTCATAATTGTCAAAGAATAACATTTAGGGTCCAGTAGATTAGGAAGTTTAAGTAAATATTCTGTGATTGAGTTAAGTGTGAAGTGAGATTTAATTTTATCTAGTATTTCCATAATGGTAGTTCTGTCTTGTATAGAGATTAGATTGAATAGATCAGGTTTAATGTGGTCTAATTGTAGTTTTAATTCCTCAAGGCTTTGGAGAATTAGTGGTTTATCATCATGTTTGGTTCTATGTTGGATGTTGATTCAACTTGCAGGGATTTTGATAAAGAAATAATGTTTTTGGAGGTTTTGAGAAATCTTAGTTATAGTTTAGAAGAGGTAATAGGTATAGTTAGATTTAAATAATAGACTTGCAGATAAGTCTGGTTTATCAGTGGAGTTGGTTAATATGTAGGTAGGTAGGAGGGGTAGCAAAAATTTGAATTGGTGTTCAATTTTAGCTAAGAATTGCTTGACAAAAGCTTTGTTTTTGATTTTTAAAGTATAGTGGTGTTTAGTTTTGATTGTAGTTGGATCAACAGATAGTTGTGGTTTCTGAATGATATAATTATTAAGAAGTTGCTTGAAGCTGTAGTGAGAGTACAGAAGTTCAACAAATTTCTTTAAGTCATCAAAATCTTTTAGATTACAAGGAAAATATTGTTTGAGGTTATAAGTAGCTATTGGAAGATTAATGGGAGTAGTGGTTTAGATGCAGATAGGTTAAAGAATTTAGGTGGTAATTTTTGTTCCAGTTTATAGAGATTTGATTGTTTCCTTTAGTATTTTGAGAGGAATAGTAATGCAGAGTGATCAGTAATAGAGAATTAGTCTTTGACTAATGGGTCAAGTTCTGAAGAATTCTCTAGTAGCTTGATGTGTTGTGTTTCGAAATATTTATCAGAGAGGGACTCAAATTTATAAATTTTTTGGAGGGCTGTGACAATGACTTTTGGCTTGTTCCAATTTTGAATAAGTAGATTAAAAAGAAGTATTTTTAATATGTCATTTTGTATTTCTTTGACTGATAGAAGAAGGGGTTGGAGTTTGTCTAATAGTACTCCTCTGATGATTTTTTTGTATCTTCAAAGCTTGTTAATAGATCAATATGAGCAAAGTTGGTGCAATAAAAAAGTTTTCAGGTGATATTGTGTGGGTTGGTCTTTAGAAAGTCAATGTTAATGATGTAGTTAATTGCAATATTTTCTTTAAGCTTCTCCATGATCTGATTTCTGTTATATTTGTTGATAAAGTGGATTTCATGATGTTTTTTATATTTTTCTATAGTGGTTTGAATTTCTATTGGTGTTGGGATGTAGCTTCTTTGTTATGATTAAAAGACTTGAAGAAGGCTGTATTATAGAAGTTGAGCTTAGAGTTAATTGCTATGGGTAGGTTGTGATAGATAAATTGCAAGCTAGTCTTGTATTTCAAGAAATTAGTCATGTTTGCCTTATCTCTAAATGCTTCTAGAATTTTGTCATTATTTCATTGCTAAGTATCAAATAGTTCTATTTTTTGTAATAGTGCATATGCTATTTTTTGGCTTCAAAGAGTTGAGATCACTAGATGTGGGTCAGATTTGGGTGTAGAAGATCTGAGAATTGCTTGGCTGTATGTAAAGAACCTGCCAGAATTGGCCAGTTGTTTAAGTCTATAACCAGTAGATATCCAGGTTGGTGTGTGCTGTAGATTGGGGTCCATATCTATTATTTGTAGTCTAGAGACCATGGGGGTGGATCAGATTTGGCTAATTTTGTTTGGTTTGTTTCAGTTGTAGAAATATTTCTATTTGTTCCAGATCATTGGTGTTGGGACCAAACTGTTCTGGATTTGTTGTGTTGCTAGATAGAGATGATAATATTATGTTGGTGTCATATAATCTACAAACAGGGATGAGCCACTTTGCTCACTTTTTGGTTTACTATATGAGGTGTATTGGTGATATTGCTAGTAATTTTTAAAGTTGTTGGAGTTTCTGCTAGATGAAGTTGAAGTAATTTGTGGTGTTGGTTGAATAAAGAATTTAGTGAATACTTCTGGGTCTGTTGTGGTTTTATCTGATATTGCTGTGCCAAAAAATTTTTTAGAGAAAGATTGGAAGTAGGTTTTTTGTTGTAACATGTTGTCATAGGGCTTCAAAGAAGCCTGAGCTGAGAGAGTTTGGATTTCTTGACTACTGTGGTATCACTATATCTTGCCTATTGTAATTAATTAATTATACCAGGTGGAGCTGCTTGCCCCAAGAGACTATAATACTTAACAGGTCTAATATTTAAAACTTTATGACAAAAGGTTGTTTACTTTTTACTACTAAAAATGATTTTCAGAGATTAACTGGAAAGAGTTTTTTTTTAGTAAGTATTGTAAACAATTTTGTTACAAGCTTACTATTCTAATACCACAATATGTGGTTAGTTTATATTGAAATTGTCATAATTTCTATTGTGAGTTATTGTAAATAAATTTGTTACAAACTTACTGCTATTTTATTGACTATAATACATATATTAACATTAGTAAATTAGTTTGTATTGAAATTGAGCTGTTTAAAAATTTTATTACAGTACTTACTCACTATTTAGGTAACCACAATATGCAGTTAAAATAAAATAATTTGCATAAAAATTATTATATTCCATTGCAAGTTACTATAAAAAACTATTACAGAGTTTACTTGCTATTTAGTGACAGTTAAATCTGGGATAGTTTGCATTAGAATTGTTGTAATTTTTATTATGATTTATTGTACTATTCTGGTAACTACAATATTTGATTAATGTGAGTTAGTTTGTATAGAAATAAATGTGATTTCTATCATAAGCAACTGAAAATTCTATTAAGAACTTACTTTAAATTTGACAACCATGATAAGTTTATAGTATTCTATTTGGGCCAAAAGTGCAATCTTTGTGAAAATTGAAAAATTCAAAAAT